GCCTTTAAATGTTTTTTTTTCTTCGTAATCTTGTAATGAACTCTTATTAGGCTTGTAATAGACTCTTATTAGGCTTCAGGCATGTGTTGTACTTTTGAAACCTTTAAGCAATGCCAAATTCTCACGGCCGACCTTCAAACTGGTGACCTCCAAATTTCACAGATTAGAATCTTTTGACGACCCTGAACTTCCAGCACAACAGAAAAATATTTGAGCCAAAAAAAAAGCACAAGGAACAAGAAAATATTTTAAGAATATGAGTGCCTTAAAAAAAATTTTTTTTTCGCTTTAAAGAGTGTACAGTAATTTGTTTTTTTTTACTGATTTATCTTTTTTTTTAAATCAAAATATTTATTGGCCAGGAGTTGATCGTGCCATAATTATAAATTACCGGATAATACCATTATTGGGCAAATTGTTGTATAATGGCAATTTGGCTCAAACGGACAAATGATTGTCTGGCACGTGCCACTTCGTGGCACATGCCAGCCAATTATTTGCCCGTTTAAGCCAAATTGCCATTATACAACAATTTTTGCCCAATATTGTATACTTATAAGAACTGTTAGAATCTGGTCTAAATCAAATAGAATAAACAGGATGCAAATCACCAACTCTTTCTAACAATCACTTGTACCAAACTTTTCTTGAAAACACTTGCTGTTTATTAAATATTTTATTAAGTAAACTATCTTTAGCTGTTTAAGTAAAATTGTTCTACTCTTAATTTTACTTATAAGTAGCCTAGTTTTACAGCTCTAAAGTCTTTTTTTGCAAAGCTATAACTATATTTCTAAATTTTAGTTTTTTCTAGTTTACTTAAATTTTTTTTAAATAAACCTCTATTGCTCCTTAATAGAATAAGATTCAGCTTAACAGTAGCTTTATTTTGATATATAATATATCTTAAACATACAAAAATTACATATTTTATAACCAAATACTTCAAAAACTCTGTTACAAAAACTGCACTTTATTTTTGTTAAAAAATTTTTATTTTTAGAGATTCTGCCCCTCTAGGATGCCCAAACTTGCAGATCCTCATTACTAATCAAGATTATTAATTAACTTATACAACTTAGCCCATTGTTATATCTATTTTTATACAAATTCAGATTTACCTTTTTAATTTTAGTAAATTTATACAAACTGCTTTTTGTCAATCCTATCAATCTATTTATCATGATACTAGATTACACCTTATTTGTCATACCCTTTATTTGCCACACTCTCTTATTTGTTATACTCTTGTATTTGTCACACTCTCTTATTTGTCATACCTCTTTACTATTTTTTTACTAGCATCATGTTGAGTTTAATCCTGTTTAAAAAACTAGACTCCTGTGATATGGACTATTATTATTCTAAATACCAAGACTGTTTTGGTATTGGTATAAATAAAAACAAGCCCAACTCACTTAAAGTCCTTCTATCTTGCTTTAAACCTAAAACTATAATATTCAAAAATCTTTCAAAAAATTATACTACTTTTAAGTACCTATACAATCTACTATCAGAACATGTTATTGCAAAAAAATACCATACAAGCTTTACCTTCCAATATTACAGACTTTCCCAGTCAACTGTAATTAATCAACCTCAATCTCAAACTAGCTCTTCAATCTCCAAAAATCAATTTAAGAGAATCACTAAAGAACTACCTGTTTCTCTAATTACTAAAACATATGACCAATCTAAACTATCTCACATTAATCCAAGAATACTATTTCTGAATTTTCAAACTAATAAAACTTCTATAGCTATTGTTCACTACTCCCAACATTATTATATTTGCTTTATCTGCAAAATCAAAAATATTCTTTGTATAGCTACAGAACAAAGTAGCTATATTCCAGTGGCTTGTATTTTCAAAAATGCTGCTTTGCTTCACAGAAACTGTGCTTCACTTATTTATAATATTAAACTTAAACCAATTATTCCCCAAGTCTACTTAAATGACACTTGATCAAAAATCTATTATTATTTTTCTTAAGATTCTACAAATGTCTGCTATAAACAAAAGAATTATATTTCTTAAATTTATCAACAAAATCAAACAAAATCAACAAACTCT